GTCACAGCCTAGGCGAGTACGTGGCGGCGACCGTTGCTGGCGTCATGTCGCTGGAGGACGGGCTGCGTCTGGTCGCTGAACGGGCACGTATCATGCATGGGAGCGACCCGAGAGACGGAGTCATGGCCGCCTGTCGGCTGAGCCCTGCAGAAGTGGAGAAGGCCATTGAGAGACTGCCACTTGGTGAGAGGAGTGTGTCCGTTGCGGCAGTCAACGGCCCCAAGAGTGTCGTTCTGTCGGGTGCTCGAGTGCAAGTGGAGGAGCTTCTGAATAGCCTCGGTGCTGGCAGCCAATACAAGCTGCTTCCCGTTTCTCACGCCTTCCACTCCCCACTGATGGCTGGCGCCGTCCCGCAGTTCAAGCAGGTCTTACAGACCGTTGCCCTTCATCAACCGAGGATCCCCCTCGTCTCCAACGTCACCGGACAGCTCGTCGCACAAGGCCACCAGGCGCAAGAGGAAGGCGCCAGCCGGACGGACGTGACGGATGTCGAGTATTGGGCGCAACACATTACTCTGCCCGTCAGGTTCCTTGATGGCGTCCAAACAATCATCCACAAAGCCGGCGCGCGCGTCCTCATCGAAGTCGGGCCAAAGCCAATACTCGTCAACATGGCCAAGCAGATCGTTCGCGAGGACGCGCAAGGAGTGGACCTCCAGTGGCTACCTGCTATCGACCCGGGCAGGACAAACGAGGATGTCATCGCTCTGGCCGTCAAGCAGGCAGCGACCTGTGAGGCGGGTGCGCATCAGTGGAGTCGGCGCTCTTTTCCGTGGGCCGATATCCGCCATCCTCTACTTCAGAACCGCACCGATGACGGAGACCACGTACGATACGAGGGCATTCTTCGTGACGAGGTTGCGACCCTTGTGCAGGACCACGTCGTTGTTGGGAATGCTATAATGCCTGGCGCTGGGTTCCTCGACATAATGGCCGCAGCAGCGGCGGCTGCGGACGAGGGGGCCTCTGTTTCTTCGTCCAAGTCGCAAGATTCGTCTATGGTGCAAATGGAAGACGTCATCTTCGAACGCCCACTTAGGGTTTCCACGAGCGCTCCCCCTTCGGTTCGCATTCAGGTCGAGAGGACCGCAGCGAGCGGCTCAAGCCATCGGCTGGAGACTGTTGGGATCCTGTCAAGGAGCCAGGACGAGCAATCTTTCATGTCTGTCAGTACAGCCCGCGTGACCAGCATCAATTCTTCGCCCCCTGATGCCTCGGCCACTGGAGGGGACCTGGAAAGTGTCAAGAACCGATGCACACGCCACGTTGATCTGACCTCGTTCTACCGCCAGTTTAGCGAGTGGGGCTTCAGCGGCGGGCCCCGCTTCAGGACCATGGGTCATCTCATGCTAGGCGATTCGGAAGCTGTTGCTTACCTGCAACTGACGGCACCTATCCTGCCTTTCGAGAGAGGGTTCCGCGTCCATCCTGCCCTTCTCGATGGAGCGTTTCAAAGTGCATTCGTCGTGCTGGAAATAGTGGAAGCAGGTGCAGACAACGGTCAGCAGAAGACGACCCAAGCGAAGTCGACTTTTGTGCCTGCCGGGGCAGACAAGGTGTCTTTCGGGCGGTGCAGTGCGTCTGACAAGCTGTGCAGTCACGTCCGGCTCGTCAGGCGGGACGACACGGGAGCGATCATCGACGTGGCGCTGTATGACAGCGGAGGTCAGGTGATTGTGGCGATCAAGCATCTCCATCTGCGGCCGATCCATGCTACATCCATCGCTGAGATCCCGAAGGAGCTCCTTTGGCAGCTGGATTGGCAGACTGGCAGCGACGGCTCGACAACGCTCGACAAGCTGACTGGCACCGGCGAGAGAGAGGCATCGTCCGTCCATCTGCGGTGCCTCTTGTGTGGCTTGGCGCCGAAGCTCAAGGCGAAATTGGAAGGCTGTGGAGCAGAGGAGCGGGCCGCTCTCGGCCTGAAGACGGGGTCAAAAATGCTGGCTTGCGATGAGCTACCCGCCGGTCGGGCACTGGAGCTGCTCTTGGCAGACGAGGTCGAGGGGGCGAAGGGCAAGGGTCCTCGGTATCTCTGGGATGTCATTCTGTACCTGGGCGGGCTGTCAGGGCGGCAGAACGCGAGTGAAGTCGACGTGCTCAACGAGGCTCTCTGTCTGGCACAAGCCATGCTAAGCCTGGGTCGAAGAGTGCACCAAAACGATCCCCCTCCAATCTGGCTCGTCACGTCTGGCGTCATGCAGCCAGCATACGAGCAGGACAGATCACTTGGAGACCTCGACGTGATGGCGCATGCCGGTTTGTGGGGCTTTGCGAAGACCGCTCGGCTGGAGCTGGAGGCGAACATTGGCAGGAGGATCCAGCTTGGCTGCATCGACGTGGCTGTCGCCCCTCAAGTGAGCGCCTCGTTCCTTGCCTCGCTCCTGACCACAGTGCGAACGGAGCGAGAGAAGCCGCTGAATGCTTATGAGAGTGAAATTGTAATGCGCTCCGCTGTCCAAGACCACGAAGGGAAGAGAGATCGACCGGTGAACCTTCTGTATTCACGCCTCAAGAAGTCGGCACTGCAGGTGCGGGGCGCCGTTGAGCTGTTTTTGCCTCGTCGCGGTGCTCTCAGCAACCTGAAGCTTCGTCCGCTGGCTGAAGCCTCTCGCATGGTCCCATCAGCTGGCTGTGTGGAGATTCGCGTCCGCGCGGTAGGACTGGATTTCCGTGACGTGCTGAACGTGATGGGTTTGTATCCTGGGGACCCTGGTCCGCCTGGCGGCGATTGCTCGGGGACGGTCGTACGGGTTGGAGCTGGCGTGACGCATCTCGGAGTGGGCAATGACATCTACGGTGTCGCACCAGGGTGTCTGCGGACGTATGCGACCACAGACGCCCGCTGGATGGCCGTCATACCGGCTACCGTTTCGTTCGAGCAAGCCGCGGCCCTGCCATCTGTGTTCGTCACCGTCGAGGTCGCTTTCAGGGAGCTTGCGCAAGTCAAGAGAGGGGAGAACGTGCTCGTTCACGTGGCGACCGGAGGGGTGGGCTTAGCGGCACTTCGATACTGCCAGCATGTGGGCGCCACCGTCTATGCGACGGCCGGCAGTCAGGCGGAGAAGGACTATTTGCGCGAGACGTGCGGCATTGAGTATGTGACCACCTCGCGCGACGCTGAGCGGTTCAAAGAGGACATGCTGTCTTTCTTGGAGAGGGGGAAGACGAGGATCGATGTGGTCCTCAACTCGCTGATCGACGACTACATTCCCTTCTCGCTGGATCTCGTGGCAACCAACGGCCGTTTCATGGAGCTGGGCAAGCGCGGCACCTGGACTAAGGACAGGGTCGCACATAAGCGGCCCGATGTCATATATGAAGTCATTGCCGTGGACCATATGATGGAGGAGTCGCCCGAGTGGTTCGGCTCGATGCTAGATCGCATCCGACATCTCGTGGAGCAAGGCCAGATCCACAGCATACCCCTGCATGTGTTCGACATTGACAGCCCAGAGGCAGCCAGCAATGGCGTCGCTGGTTTCCAGTTCCTGCAGCGAGCGCAGCACATCGGCAAAGTCGTTCTTCAGATTCCGAGCGCAATCGCGGCACGTAGGACCAGCGGGGCCGAGGACATCAGCGGGGCACGTAGGACCGACGGTCGGCAGGGCAGCTACGTCATCACGGGCGGTGTCGGGGGACTGGGACTGGTTGTAGCTGAGTGGCTGGTCCACGAGGGGGCCAAAGACGTGGTGCTCGTGTCGCGGCGTGGCCAGCCGTCGAGGGAGCTTGCGGCGACGGCTCTGTGGCAGAGGCTGACGGACTTGACCGGCGATAACGGCGGAGAGTCAGTCATCCACTGTGTGGCAGCTGACGTCTCAACATGGGCAGGCTGCGGCAGCGTGTTTGAACAAGTGGGCCGTCCAGTCGCGGGCATCTTCCACGCTGCCGGTGTACTCGAAGACGCGGCACTGGCCAAGCAAACCAGGCAGAGCATCGAACGAGTTTACAGGCCGAAGGTAGGGAAAGCACACAGCCAGCCTCTCTCAACGTTTCCTGATTCAAAGTGCTCTTTCTTGCTTGGCCTCAGGTAATGGGGGCGTGGCACCTTCACGAGCACTGCGCACGTGAAGGTCTTGCCCTCAGTCACCTGGTCTTCTTCTCGTCGGCCGCGTCCATGTTGGGCAACATCGGGCAGAGCAATTATGCCGCGGCCAATGCTTGCCTGGACGCGCTGACCTTGTACCGTCGTTCGCGTGGTCAGTGCGCTGTGAGCATCCAGTGGGGTCCGTGGCTGGAGCAAGGCATGGCCGCCCAGCTGAAGCAGCATTTCGACACAGTGGGCGTCCGAGGGATCTCCAACGAGCTGGGGCTCCGAGTTCTTGGCGACGTCATGAGAGCCGCCACGACAGGCAATTCCAGCCGTGCCGTCAGTGTTGTGGGCTGCCAGTCGCTTAAGTGGAAGACCTTCCTCCAAACCTACGAGGCGCACCCACCATCGTTCCTGCAGGACGTCATCCCCGCCGACAAGACCACGATAGAGAGCGGAGGGAACGGTCAGATCAATCATGCCCTCCTCAAGATGGATGCAAGCACGCTCAAGGATCACGTGCGCAAGAAAGTCCTAGAGAAGGCGCGACAGGTGCTCGGTGGGAATGAAGACAGCACTCCGCCGCTCGATGCACCGCTGCGGGAGTCCGGCATCGATTCACTTGGCGCGGTGGAGTTCAGAAACGGCCTCGCAGCGGAACTGGACGTCAAACTTTCAGCAACCACGCTCTTCGATTATCCGACGCTTAACGGTATCATTGGATTCATCGTGCAGCAGATCCAAATCAAGACTGGCCAGGAGCAACCGGGCCACCAGCCGAGCACAATGATGCCGGTCAGCGTGTCTGTCAAGGGGCGTGATGCGCTGACTACGAGGATCGGCGTGTACGGCGTATCGTGTCGGTTTCCGGGCCGCATCGACAGTCTGGCGTCGCTGTGGTCGTTCGTCATGGGCCAGCAGGACGCCGTGTGTGACACTCCCGCCGACCGATGGTATGTTGGCGACTTTGTGAGGTCCGCCAGCTCTCTAGACGAGAGCCAGCGGGCGGCGTGCCTCCAGGCCGGGTACATTGTGGATGGGGTGGAGTACTTTGACAACGCCTTCTTTGGCCTGTCGGCCGCCGAGGCCACGGCCATGGACCCTCAGCAGCGCATCATGCTCGAGGTCGCTCACGAGGCCTTCCTCGACGCCGGACACAGCCGCGAGCAGCTACTCGGCCAGACCGTCGGCGTCGTCATCGCCGGCAGCTCATATGACTGGCTCACCCTCGGGCGAGAGGGCACAACCAGCACGGCGACGGCCGACAACAAGAGCACGACCAAGACCAACAGCGACCTCAGCAGCAGCTACGCCGGAGTGGGGAGCGCTGTGTCGATTCTGTCGAACCGCATCTCGTATGTGTACGGTCTTCGGGGCAACAGCATGACGATCGACACGGCATGCTCGTCGTCGCTCGTGGCGCTGGACGCTGGGGCGTCCTGGATTCGCACTGGCCAGTGCGAGACGGTCCTGGTAGGCGGCGTGCAGCTGATGCTCTCGCCTCTGACCTTCGTCCACTGCTCGAAGGCCGGCATGATCTCGCCTGACTGCCGCAGTAAGACGTTCGACACGAGTGCGAACGGCTATGTGCGCGGCGAGGGTGCGGGCGCCGTGGTCCTGGAGCGGCAGGGGGCCGGCGATGGCGGCGATGATGAGGCCATGAGTGTTTCTCCTTGGTTGGGCGAGGAGGGCAAGGACGGCCTCGCGAGGGGTTTGGAGGAGGATGTCTCGAGCCGCAGGGGAGGGACAAGGAGGAGGGAGCCTTTGGCTGTGGTGCTGTCGAGCTGTGTGAATCACGTCGGGCGGAGTGCGTCGCTGACGGCGCCATCTGGGAGTGCGCAGGCTGAGCTGCTCGGGCGCGCCCTGGAAATCGCCGGTCTGCGGCCTCATGAGGTGTGCTTCTTGGAGACGCACGGCACGGGCACGTCTCTTGGCGATCCGATTGAGGTGGGGGCCATCCAGCGCGTCTACGGAGGGCACGAGCACGACCCAGCGGCAATAGGGGAGAGCAGGCAGCGTCGCCCATTGGTGCTGGGTGCTGTCAAGACCAATCTCGGCCACCTCGAGGCAGCGGCAGGCATGGCGGGACTGCTCAAGACCATCGCTGTCCTGCAGCACCAGATCTGCCCCCCCAACCTCCACTTGCGCACTCTCAACCCCTTCATTGACGTCGGCGACGCCACTGAAGAACAGCACAAGCACGACAAACCAGAAGCACCATACGCCACACTCAACTGTGTCTTCCCCACGGAGCCCATCTCTCTCAAGCCCACACCAACACACACAACCATTGCAGCACCACGCGGCCAGGCGGCAGAGGACGACGACGGCCACACCGGCCATCATGACGACGGCCACAACGCCGCGCTGATTGGCGCTGTCAGCTCGTTTGGCTTTGGTGGATCCAACGCACACGTGATCCTACAGTGCAAGCCGAACCAAGGCCGTCAAGCGATTGAAGGCGTCCACCGGGCAGACCAGGGGGCTTGTCACCACCGGGAGAGGAAGGTGGCTCTCATGTTCACCGGTCAGGGCAGCCAGTATGTCTATATGGGGCGGGAGCTGTACGAGAGCGACAGCGTGTTCCGGGAGGCCATCGACAAGTGCGCGGCGTTGCTCGATCCGCATCTGTCGTCGCAGCAAGAGGGCGTCTCACTGGTGGAGCTGCTTTACCCCTCCACTTCATCCGCGGAGGAACGAATGGCTCGGCTCATCGACGAGACGCGCTTCTGTCAGCCCGTCTTGTTTGCCGTTGAGTACGCCCTGTACACGTCGCTGTCTGCCCGGGGCGTGGTTGCCGACGTGGTCATGGGTCACAGCCTAGGCGAGTAC